GAATGTATCAAAAACACTATAATTTATTTGGCTTTCTAATTAAGATATAAATAAGTTTAAAATATTCCATTATTGTTCAGAGCACTGATTTCAGTCAACACAACATTTTCTTTCAAATGCCGACTCTGACTGTCAAAACTAAACAAATGGGTGCAAGGGGGCCCATGTGTTTATATTTACTCATTCTAATGGTTATCTACTTGTCCAACAAATAAGGATATATGGTTTAGATAAGTGTGTTCAAAACTATGATAGATGGGAGGAACTTCACTGGTAAGTTGAACAAATGTATTTATATCTTAGCAAATTGAGAGTATGAGAGGTTCACATTTATATTCTGATCTGCCAATAGTTATAGTTTGTATTTTCATTGAAAACCATATAAGGGAATCAATAAAATAAAAAAAAAGAGACAACACAGGCAAGATGAGTTACAAACAGAAGTACAGATTCAGAAATTATTTCAATATTTCCTTTTGAAAATAAGAAAATAAAACTTGTAATTACAAAGTACATTTTAATGCTAAGTTTATTAACATGAATTGATAATAAACTTTTGAAATTAAATTTGGAATGTAACTCTTTAAAAAAAAGGTTGTGACATGTTCACTTTGTGCATAGGGTTAAAGCTTTAAAGAAATAGCATAACTAAAACTTCTTGGGTTTCCATTTTCAAGAGATTTATCATTGTTTACTCTTGCATTGTAAGTAGTTCAATCAAATTATAAGGGCTAAAGTATAAAGATTATGCTATCATTATCTGGGTTATGTTTAAAGGTTGTTTTTGTGTGTTTTATGGAAGATTTTCGACTTGAAATAGTTCAAGTATATATAAGTATATTCAAGTGCATGTATGTTTGAAGTTTTGATTGTTTCTTGGATGCATATTTTTAGGTTTTCAGAAATGACCTGAAACTTAAAAAGATCCTTGTACTTGTTTTGATTATACATGTAGTTCAATTTAAATTTCTTTTCTCCTAAAAATTGTTTTATTTTTAAGGATGAATTTGTAGGTTTTATTTTTCTTTCTGGTCCCTTACATTGCAGTTAGTAACAGTAGGCAGTTAGCCATTTTATAGAAAAATGAGGGTAGGTTTACATGTGAATTATGTGTGACTCTACAAGTTAGACTTACAAGCTCAATGGATAGCAGCATGATGCTTTTGTTCCCCCTGAAATAATTATGGGAGTATGAATTTTTTACCTGTTATATTATGCCTTGTATGCCTTTTATATATATGGTGTCCAGTGAGCTAGTTCTTGAAATAAATTGATTGAGCTATGGCAATTGATACTTATAGAACATTCATTATGTGAAATCTTAGGAAGTAAAAACGCTGATGGCTCACTTTTGAAATACCTGTTCTATATTTCCATCACCAGCTTATGGAAAAATCTTGTTTCCAAGATGATACCTCATCTCCATGCACAGAATTGCTATATCCCTCTCGTGTCTGCCTATGAAATTTGCATGCTGCTAGTCTAGAGCTGACTCCCATCAAAAATTCATGTGTTTAATATGAACTTTGATGGTGCATGATGAAATGATCATGTGAAAATATCCATCCACCACTATGAAGGTGACACAACTTCCATGAGCAATAACTCCCCTTAAGCACTTGCATTCCTCAGTGTACCTTGAACAGACATGTTAATTATTTTGCATCCGTGCTCAATTTATTGAGACTTGCGATCTTCAACAAAGCTTTTTTTCAAAAGTATTACTTAATATAATGAATTCTCAAGTGATGGTGACTTCTAATTTGTTCTGTGAAGGTAACTGAGTTACAAACACAAGACCTATTTTTCTTATGGGTTCTGGAGGCTTTTGGGCCTTTTCAGTTTTTGTACAGCTTGATGTGGGTTCCCTCATGTATACTGGGTCTCCTCCTTCTTTTCTTCTCTGTTTGTGAATGATCAGGAGGACAGCAAATTTAACCGACTATTCCTACCACCTGGGTTTGCTTTGGGTACTGCTTTACAGTTAGAGAAAGTCCTCAATCTTCAATTCTCTTTTTAGATATAATTTTCATGTATGTTCCTTTCTTTATCTTTAGCCTGTGTCTTTTGATTCTTCCTGTTCTGTACTCCATGCAAGTTATACTCAGGATTATTTTGTCTTTCTTCCATTGCTTAATATTAAAGTTCGTGCTTCCTTTCTCAAACAACTCCACACTTGTACCTACATGCCTCCCCCCCCTCACATTCTTGACTCTTTTGTCCTGACTTCCAGCCAGTCTTCTAGGTTTACAATCTTTGGAATCTCATTTGTCTGCTTGGATAGTGGACTCTTGTTCTCTATTTCATTCTCTTGTTTTCCATTTTTGCATCTTTATCCTTCTTTCACCACTCTCGTACATTTCCTCTTCTCCCTTCACCTTTTGTCCGAAGCACTTCATCATGCTCCATAGAGGTTTTTCCAGAGAGGTTCAATCCCTTCTCTTCACCATCTTAGCTTGTACCTCTTCTTCTGCTCTCTAACCCCTTACTTGATTCCTATGCTATTGGGGTGTACTCCTTATTAATGTGTGCCTTTCTTCCTTCATATCCCCGTGATCTTTGTTTGGCTCCATTCTTTACCTGGAAGTCTTCAGTAGTATTCAGGCTTCTCTGGAGACATTGTTTGATCTAGACCATCATCAGTCTTTGTTTTCTTCACTGGTGATTTCTTGTCTTTTTCAACCTTGCCCTTTGACTCCTGTTCCTTGGCCAGATCTGTCTACCCCAACCTTCCCATTCCTGCTTCTAGGTATTCCTCTTCTTCTTGTCCTCCTGTTACCTCAGATTTGGTTCATTGCTTATCTAGTTGGTAACTATTCTGTTGGGTTGGGCCGTGTGGTTGCCTGTCTGTTTCACTTCACTTACCTTTGCTCTTACTTTCTACTAACAGAGGGCTTTTTTTATTTTTACACCCATGGTCTCTCTCCACTTCTCTTCCCTCTGACCCCATTTATCTTCAGTATCTTGTGGATTCAGTCTTAGATCCTTTGACCAAACATACCATTGAGAGGGTATACACCCATCCCAGGGTTTTTTACTTTCATCTCATGGTGGTTCTCATGTTGACCTGGGAGGTGTCTGGTTATCAACCTATCATCTTCAACTGGTTACTGGTCATTCCACAGTTCTTGGTGAAGAATTTCTTTTCTCTCTCATTGCACTGTATCCAGTAAAAGAACTTTCCAGCAGGCACCCAATGAGGATACAAACACTTCTTTAGTGGAAAATGGGAGACTCTTGCCACTTACCAGTTCCTAGCTGCTGGGGTAGTAGACCTTGGAGAGTTCCTTACTCATTGGAAAGTGAGATTGGGAAGCACAATACATTGAGAAGTGGGGTAATAGTAACACTGTCAGTGGACTTCAGGTCAACCTTCAAACACTTAATGTGCCCTTCTACATCCTGAATGTGACTGGTTGAGTTGAGGTGAGCACCCCCTGTATGGTCTGATTGCATCCTATCCACACTACACTTCTTGGTTTGCCACCCACTTGTGTGCAAATACTTGGATGATCATGTTTTTATTCTGCCCATCCATGTGACTCTTTGGTTTTTATTGCCTTTACCACTGTTTCCTTAGGTGGGAAGAGTATATCCTGATCAAGACAAAATACGGTCTCTCAAGGGTGTGCCCCTATGGAATCCATGCCATTGGGTGTCACACTCCATGTTCTTTCCCTTTGGGCATTTACTCTAGATAGCTCATTTAGATTTAAATTTCCACCAGCTCCTCCACCAATTCAACATGGAATTCTAGCATTTCTTTGTGTGGAAGTGAGTTATCATCTCAGAAGGTAACATTTTCTTAATCTGAAAATATATTTTTGATATATACTTCTTCACACATTCTATTTCTGGTGCACCTTATTTTCTTGTCTCATCTAAGAATGAAGTGACTTTGAGTACAAGTGCATAGGAGGAGTTACTGCACATGGAGTTTGTATCACCCTCCTATTGGTAGAGAGCTATTGTCACATGATGATGTCATCCTGCACCAGTGCAGTTCACATGAAACATGTGAATTTCAAGTGCAAGTTAGCTCAAGACTGGTGGCAGGCAAATCTCATAGATAGATGCAGAAGTGATAAAACCATTGTGTGTGTGTGAAGTGAGTATCTATAAGAAATACAGTTTCAGGTTAGGAAAATGTTAATTTTAGCTTTTTTGAAGTGCATGTTACATTGGGATGATTTGTGAAATATATATTCTGTTTTGTCAAACTTTTGAGATTTGTTTAAAAAGTTAAGTGGTATAATTTGTGAAATACTTGTTACTGGAGAAAAGTTAATAGTAATTAGAAGTGTTCATTAAAAAAGCTATTCATGAGAAATTTTAATTTCAGTATAACTAATTTTATTGGTTTTCATTAAGTTCTTTTATTCAACATTAAAGTTTGTTTGTTGTTTTATAAATTTTACATATTATAAGTGTAATACATTTAGTAGTAAAATATTGGCAAGAACTAAATTATGAAAGTATGACTGTCTTGAATTATATTGCTATGAATAAAAGTGATTTCATTTTTTTGTGTTTTAATTCTTTGAGTATGAGTTGTGAAGACCATTGATTAAAGGAGGGTTGTCCAACTTATGACCAATGAAGAACTACATAATAAGTTAAGGAAAACATTTGAAGGCTTTTTTTTTGTCTTCTTCAGATACAAGTCTTATTACTCCATAAGTATTCCAATCAATGAAATGATAATTATTTTTCAATTCACCAAATATTGATATTCTTATTTTGGGGCTAGATATGGCCTATGGACTATTAATTATACAACACTGGTTTATAGTATTTAAAATTAGAAGCTATATGTAATTACTATGTAATCATTCTTAATATTTTTGTAACAAATATAAGCTTCTAATTGTTTCATGAATTTTACAGTGCAAATTATTGATGTGTTCCAGAAATAATTGCATAATTTTACAGTAGAAGTTCTTGAGGTGTTCCAGAAATAATTTCAACATCTTATATTGTAAGTTTTTGATGTTTTCTAGAAATATTGTCATTAAACCTCGCCGGGAAAATGTTGATCACTGGTTAAAGACACCACCCATTGATGATGTTTGGAGAGCAAAGTTTTACAAGAAAAAAATTTATTCTGTAATGGAGGCTATTGAGATGCACAGGGAAACACATCATCCTACAATACTGAATGAGCCTGAAGCAATTCTCAGTTCAACTATTGAATTAGACATGCGAATGCCAAAAAAGGTAATCAGTTAAACAAAATATACAGTTTGGTAGGAATGACCAAACACATCTTATTAATTGCACACATACATGAAAAATCCCCAATGATGAAGTATCATTTCAGTCCCAGCTCAAAATCAATGTGAGTCATAAGTTTTTACTTTTCTAATATAATTATAGACAGTTTTTGTCTGTCCTAAAAATGGGTTCTCACCTTACTATCTGAATGCACATGCATGCTCACTTCATTTCAAGGAATGTAAACAAAAGGTGGATGTAAATATACTTCATTAGACATTTTGTAAAACAATATATTAAATGCTTCTCAGAGTTTTTAAAAAAGTTCTAATGTTAGGTTTAAGAATAACATTTTAAATTTATTCATTGAGAGTATCAAGTATGGTAGAGTTTAGCCTTAACTAAACTAAAGCAAAAAATACACACAAGTTACAGTTAACTTATCTATTTATTGAATATAGGCCATACTTAATAAAGACTTAACTAATATTAGGCCTAAGAAAAGTGGACTTAAAGATTTCAATATCTGCAATTAGAATTCTTTTGTTTTTATTCTGAAAATCCTGTAATTAAAGAAGTAATGTTGCAATAAAGATATTAATTTGGTCACAGGTAGAGAACTTAGAAATTTTGGTTCCAATTTTCTATTATCGAGGATTGCCTGATGATGTGGATAATCATTGACTTCATATTGTATATATATCTTTGCTTCTGATCCAGCAGCTATACAAAAATTAGGTGACAAAAAAAGGAAAAGTTGTTTTTATGTACCAGTAGACTTATGTGCCTCACAATTTATTATCATCATAAATCATCTTGTCTCAGTATTTTTAATTTTTAGTTGAGCAAGTAATAGTAAACTTCTTTTAATTTTGTTTTAGCAGCTTACCTTCCAATTTAAACATGCATTAGGAGATCATTTGCCAAACATGGTTCATTAAGTTGTGGCTTAGCTTTATGAAGTAGAAGACTCTCTTTGTTCTCTTCTCCCTGGCTAGGTAATTCATAGGATCTACCCACATATAGTCTTAAAGGTTATATTGAAACCATAGTGTAGAACACAGTGTCTTTTTAATTATAAACACAAAATACTCCCATTAAAAACATTTAAAGTACAATATGAATTTAGTTTCCCTAGATATAACTAGGTATATAGGATCAACCACCAGATGGCCTTCAACAACCAGTCAAGTGTAAGAAATTATGCTTTGCATAATTGCAACACAGCTTTATGTCACAGGTAATTTAAAATCATTGTAATAGCTAGGAATGACAAAACTGTATATATAAAAGAGAATCTTCTAATTCATAAAGTGAATTAAGTTTGGTATAAACTTTTACTGCATTTTTAAATTAGAATAGCTGTTTAGTTAAGAGTGTAATGAGAATTTACATGTTAGTTTTAAGTATGCCTTAGAATGGTTGAGATAAAAACTATAAAAAATCCTTGTGCTTCCATGATATAGTGAAACTTATCTCTTGAGTTGCTTACATATATTATTGTAAGACGAAATTTGTTATCTTATGTTTTGTAAGCTAATCAACCCACTAAATCGTAAATGTTGTGCTAATTTTTATATTAACATATGGACATGAAGATATTAGTACTTTACATTCTTTTAATTTGTAAACTATTATAGGACATTAATTAACATAAAAAAGAACATTAAGATCGACTTCTGAATCAGTGTCATGGTTGGCAATTTAGTTTGTTTTGTCTACTAGGTATTTTGACTTATAAGTAGCAAATAAATATCAACACTTTTCTAGCTTCAAGATGGAACTAATTATCATTAATGTAGTCCTATTTTTATCAATAATATAATTAATAAGTTCACTACATTTTAGAACAAACTTTAGTGTTAAAATAATAGATTGTTGTTAACTACAATACGTAAATTTTTTCTAATGTAAGTAAGTTTTTTTCAATATTTTATTTTTTTAAATGTAAAAGGTTTGTATCAATATTTATAATTTGTGAATATGTCTTAATGAAACCTGATACAGGTAGTTTTGAGAAGTGGATTGGTTTTCAATCCTTTTTTTAAGTAATCCTTAGCCTTGTTACATGATATGTTTTGAGGAAATTAATTAATTGAATAACTATTATATTTTATCATTTCAGGTAATAAGCCACCTATCTCATAATCTACATCAGCCTATCAGTTTTACTGTGTATTAAAAGTTATTGCTGTGTTGATTGTATCTTTTTTTTTTTTTTGTAGGTAAAAACTCAAACAACGTTTAGATTCATCATTGTTTAACATTTGTTATTTTTAAAGAACCGCTACCTCGATAACTTCACAGGCACAATCAAATTACCATATGAGCTCAAAATGGATAATAATAAGAAGAAAGTTTTAGTTTTTTGTAAGGTAAGTGACATTTTTGAATGTTCAAATCTTTTTTATGGAGAAAGAATATATGAAAATAAGAAAAATACCTATTAATATTTAGAAATAGTTTACTATAATTGTAAGTGTTTTAGTTATATGTTTTTTCAAGACATATTAAGAGAAATATGTAGCTTTTAGATGGGGTACAAGAGATGTTTTTTAACAAAGTGTTCAGGAACAGCTTTACTTGCACCTAAATTGTTAATGTCACAGATATGTATATTGATTTGTGTGTCTGTAAAGGGAGACCTGTTTCTACAAGGTAACTTTGGAAGTAAACACCACATTCTAATTCAAATACTAGATTTTTTCTTGTAATAAAGGGCATCTAACCCACATTTGGATACAATGGATTTTTTGGATGGTTAAATAAGGATTTAACTAAAACATATTAAAGTAAGGCAGATTTCTTAATGACTTTCTTTTTTAAGCCTCTAGGGCAGGGGTTTGTAAAATACGGCCTGCAGGCCAGATGCGGCCAGTCTAACATTTCTGTCCTGCTCGGCATGACTCCTGGTAATTGTGGAAAAAACATAATGGGGTCTTTATACAATTGATGTTCAGGTAATGTGATTAATATAGTAGAAATGTCTGGCCTGCAACGACTTACAAAAATTCATGGAATAGCCCCCTGCAAAAATTATTTCTCACCCCTATTCTAGGTTATAGTTTCACTGATGTAACTACCATAAAACTTTAAAGGATGAAAAATGCAAAATGAAATGAGTAGTACTGTTCTTCCTTTTTAGGATTGATTACAAAATTCCAACATACTTCTGAGCATTTTTATTTCTAACCTTTTCACATCTATTTGCTATGTTTATTTTACATCTTCTGCCATTAGACTGTTTACATGACACCTTCATGCAAAACTGTTGATAGCAAATAAGCTTGTGCAGCACAATTACCAGAACTTTCCCACAGAGTTTATCATAACCCCATCTCCGATAACACAGGGAAGAGACTTTTACTGACGTGTTTACAGTATAGTGATTGCAACAAGAATTGTCTAAACTCATAAAAATGTATGAAAATGTTTATGACATGGCTGTATGCAAAGTTTGAACCAATCCAATAAATTTGGTAGGAATTTGAAGTTAGTTATTCTCCTGGGGGTATAGGTTTACAAAGTGCGTAAGTGCTCATGAAAATGTATATATATATTATTACTATTTACTCATAAATGCTTACTTTTTAGTTATTTTAAAAATATTATTAAAATATAGAACAATAAAATATATATAGAAATACAATGATTTCTAGTACTTACGATGTTACAAAATTTATTTGTACTCACACATTGTACCTGCTAAGCCTCGCTGTAACCCTCTCTCAAGTAGAATGGGAATAAAAATTAATTTTTGTAGATTTCAAAATGCATTTTAGAAAACCAAAAAAAATATAAAATTACTATACTGGCAGAAGGTTGTTATAAAAAGAGTTCAGTTAAACTGGATTAATGTCAAATGGGGTACCTCAGGGCTCAATCGTAGGACCTTGGTTCTTTTTTATTTTCATCAATGATATAGATGAAAGAATGGTCAGTAAATTACTTATACTTGCTTATAATATTAAGGGCTTGGGTGTTGCTGGCTGCTTTACAAAAGGATTTAAATCATTTAATGAGTTGGCAAATAAATGGCAAATGGGTTTTGATTATAATAAATGTAAGATAATGCATGTAGGTTATCTTAATTTGAATTATAAGCATAACTTAGATGGAATAACCTTAACAGTGCTATGAAAGAAAGGGATCTTAGCATAGTGGTTGATCAATCTCATAAGCCATCCAAGCAGTGTGCTTTTGCTAGTGGTAGGACAAATAGAATTTTAGATTGAATCTACAGAAATATTGAATACAAGTTCAAAGAGGTTATAATTTTGTTGTATAGATTACTGGTTAGGCCACATTTGGAATAATGTTCATTCTTGGACTCCTTATCTTAGGAAGGACATTGAGTTGTTGGAAAGGATTCAGAGTAGAGCTACTAGAATAGTGCTTGAGTTGGAGGGGTTAAGATCTCTGAAAATGTTTTCTATTGAAAAAAGATTTAGAGGAGATATTATTGAAGTGTTTAACATTCTAAAGGGGATTGATAGTGTTGAAGCACCATCTTTTTTTCATACTTAATGGTAAGAATTTTAGGACTAGGGGCCACATATGTAAATTTTGGCAAGGTAAAAGTCACCTTCAGTTAAACCAGTTGTATTTTTCTAACAGGGTGGTTGGCCTTTGGAATGGGTTGCCTTTGGATGTTATGAAGGCAGTAAGTTTAAGTGAGTTTAAGAGAAAGTGTGATAAGTATATGAATGATAAGGGTTGGCTTTGAGTTTTTTTTCTGTTTGCTGTATATATAATAATTTTAGTTTAGTTTTGAGGATGGGACAGCCTAGCTGGACCAAAGTCATTTATTGTATCTAAACATTATGTTATGTTATATGTAATGCTGTAGCACTTGATGATGTTATGGTGGAATGAAATTATAACAGTTTCTGGTCATTGTATTTCATATTTGAATTTTAAGTTTTTCATAATGAATATTGACTTAAACATATTTAATTCTCTGAAGAACTTCTGATACGGTACATAACCCCTTCTCACATAAATAGCTATTCTTGTTCAGTGGTGCCCTCTATATGCAAACAAATATTTACATATGCCACAAACCTTTTGTCTCCCTTCCATTGGAATTGATTGATTCCAATGCATCTCTCATGCAAATCATCATGCATCAACCCTCCACAAATAAGAGAGTGACATACTCTCATGACGCATGTGACTCCCTCTATTCAATTCTACCAAACTATCACTTCTCGTTTGGTTTTACTCATGTTCAGACATTGTTGTTTCTTTGGTGCTATTTGTGTATTTCACATTCATGATTTTAATCATTTGATTTATGAAGTGGGATTTATTCATTAATTTTTTTCTTTCCATTGAAGAAGTATTTTATTTAAACTTCATTTCCTGGTCTTTTTTTATTTTTTCACACTCGCATTATTTACATCAAACACTTTTGTTTGATATATATTTCTACAGTGAATTCTGAGTTTCAGTGTACCACTTCGAGTATCATACCTCCTACTAGCAATATTTTACAGGATGCAGATGGGGTAGACCCATCATTGGATTTAAATGCAATTATCCACAGTGAGATTGATTGTTATATGAGTCAACCTCCTTCTCCTGAACTTGCCCCATTTCCTGCTGAGCAAACCAAACCTGTTCAGGCCAATGAAGATTTTGATAGCATTTTTCATGCCTTCCTATGCCTCACCTGTCGATTCAGCTAAGCTTCATACCACATTTTTAGATATGATTTCTCAGGTATGTGATGTTTTATCCATTTCCTATGATCCCCGTTCTTCTTTGTTGCACAATAGTTCTTTCTCTCCTTATTTAGTTTTCCCACCCTCCCCAGATATTAGGGTTCATGCTGAGCAATTTGCTTCCAATTTGGTTGAAAGTGCCAGCACGCCTCACCATCCACAGTCAACAAATCAGTTTACATAACTTACCATAAGGCTGCTTGTTCATTTCTTGACTCTCAACAGTTAGGGTCGATTTTACTTGTGTGGGGGTAGTCCCTGATTTTCCTGTGCATTTAACCCATGCCCAGTTTTCATGCCTTCATCTTACCCTTACTTCCCCTCAATGGTATTTATCTACTATCCATCTTCTTTCCGAGACAATCCACTGAGACCCTGATGGTTTTTTGAGGGAAAGCCTCTCTGCTATTACCTACTCATTGGCTAGATTGTTGTCTTCAGCTCTTGCTTTGCACACGTGGTTTCTTCATTGTTGGGATGTTTTGGGTCAAGATGTGGCCTTGTCACCCCCTTGTCTCAGAGATTTACGTATGGCTTCTTTTCTTTGGCGGTATGTTTTTGATCGTGTACTTGTAACTTTGGAATCATGTGTGGAGTTTGTGAATCAACACTCTTATCCTTTCATTTTTGGTTGCATGTTGTTGCAGTTAGAGCCAAGACAAGCCCCTATTCCTGTTTCCCATCCTAGTCTTTCTCAGCCTTTACCTATTCCTCTTTCCAGGGGTTTCTTATCTCGTCATATTATTGAACGTAGGTAGGCGCGTCGCCAACGGTACCAGTGACTACTCAGTGGGTTCTGGTCATGTGGGAGCTTGATTGTATGTATTTGTTTCCCTTTGGCAATCTTTCACCATAGATCCATGGGTTTTTTGGTTTTTATCAGAGGGACTTGTTCTACAATTTCTTTTCTCCCCTTCCTTTGTCTCAGGTACCCTTTCCCATGCCTTGGGATCCTACCACCAGCCAGCATCTGTCAGCAGCAGTACAAGACTGTCACAACAAACCATCAGACTTGCTCATCATCTTTCTCCAGGCTGTATGTTGTCCCCAAGAACACCAGAGAATGATGGCCTGTAATAGATTTGTCCTGCCTCAGTCAATTTCACACTCTGCCTCTTTTCACCGTGGAGTCGTTTCTCACCCTCAATTGGGCCTTTTCTCCAGGTTTATAGATAACCAAGAGTGCTGTTGTGAATGCTTTTTTGCATATCCCAATATCTCATCAGTTGCGACCCTATATTCGGTTTGACCACCAAGAGATGGTTTATCAGTTTTGCACACTGCCCTTTGAGTTTGCTTTGGCCTCGTATGTTTCTTGTTGGGTAGTCAGAGTATTCACTTGCCACTTACAAGCTCTCAGGTTGACCTTTCATCATTATATGGACAACTAGCTACTGTTAGCTCCTTCTGAACAAGAGTCTGCCCAGGAGCTTCTTGCTGTATGTCATGATTTGGTTCATTTTCTCAAACTGGCCAGAAATTATCTGGAAATGATCCATTACAACAATTCTACAGTGGTTGCATATCTCAATTACCAGGGTGGCACCCATTCTCTCACTATATTCATACATTGGATCTTCTTTTTTTTGAGCCCAAATGCTACATATTCATATTATTGCGTGTCATGTTCTGGGTGCTTTCAATCTTGT